TATAAGAGATTCCATAGATTATAATATCATATGGTTCATTTTAGTGATTTTAATTGCAGGATTTATATAAAATGAATTAAGTTTCTTTTTAAACTATGGAATAGCTTTAATAATAAGAAAATAATGGAAACGAAAATAACAATTTGATCAACAATAAAAACTATTCTAAAGCTATCTAGAAAAATCAAGTTAATTTAAGATTGAATAAATTAATAAAGGATGTTTATTTTAAGAATAAAAATTGGTAAATGAGCTTTACATTATTAAATCTCTCTTATGTGGTTGAAAACTTGGAGACTGAATTCAAAATTTAATATTAAAATCTATATATCTCTTTAATCTTAAGAGGTTAGGACCATTATGGTAGTTGAAAAATTAAAGGATATATTACAGATTCATTAAATTGTTATTTTATTATTATCACACAATTGACTCAATTAAGATTTATAAATAATATTAAAAAGTCAATAAAACTAAAAAAAAAACGATTTTACTTTCTATGAAGGAGTATCAGAAATATTGGGATAAGGAAATTGGTATTTCTAAAATTACTAAGAAGATCAAAATTTTACTGGAATTTGTCTTTATAAAAATCATAAGCCAATAATATAATAATAATTGATTTCTTTATATTATATAAAATTTACATAATTATTTGATAAAATCTTTATTTTTATTTTACTAAATAAAATTTTATAGTAATTTAACACATTTCCTTTCCTTGAAATTCTTTTATAAAGAATTTCTTATTCTGATAAATTATGAAATATGATATGCTCTTCGATGAGGTTAAAATACGATTTAATTTAAATTGTAATGATCAGAAAATTCTATAAATATTAGATAATTTTATTTAAAGTTTATAAAATCAAAATATTCCTTCAGAAACATTCATAACTTGGTAATTTAAGTAAAGGTGTATAATAATTTATAAGAAAAGTAATAAAAATCAAACATTTTTAACATTTATCTCCATTTCTATACCTTCTACAGGTAGCTGTGTTAAAATGTCTTCAATAACAAATTTAACATTTATTTTACAAGAAGTTTATGGCGGAATAATTGTGAATTTTACATACATACCCTCATCTTTGGATAAAATGAGAGAATTATTCTTTATTTGAATAAGATGAGGCATATTTGTTTTAATCTAATAAGATACTCCTTCTCTTTTAGGATTGATATATAGCAGTCTTCTATTAGTTGCAACACCACTGCCAACTTATAATGAATAATACTAAAGATTATAAATCAACTTTACTTTGATTGGAATGTGTTTCCAGGCTTATAAAAAGAATTACCATTCTTCTGATATGTTTCCCAATATAATTGGCTCATTGTCATCAACTTAAGGGCATAATTACATTGAAAAATAGATAATTTAAAAAATAATATAAGATTAGAAATAAATTAATTGTAAATTAAATGTTTTAAAAAAAGGAAAAATTTTATAAATTAATAATAACAGTAATTCTATTTTTTTATATTTCATTTCTAATTTATATATAGTAACTAATGTTTAGATCTAAAGGATTGAGTCATTGTTAGCTATTGATTCCACAAGAATCATCTTATAATGTTATGAAAGAATTATATTAAATAGATAGCGTAATAATTATCCATAGATTTACTATTAAATTTCTTTTATCAATTAAGTACAAATATAGTATGACATACTTATGCTAAATTAGATGAAATATTTATTAAAGTACAAAATATCTACTCGAATATGTAAATTAAATAGGATTCATAATAGATTGTATGAAAATATTAGAAAAATAGAATGATCTTATCATTAAAGTAAATTCAAAAGTATACAGTCATAAATTAAATTGATGTACTTAACTGGAAAATATTAATTATAAATTGAAGATTTATCTAGATTGAAATCTAAATTATAAAATATTATTATTAAGGTTAAAATTGCAATATTAAATACAATTAGATTGTTGGTAATAGCTTATTTTGACAGCAAATATAGCATTAGACTTTAATAAATAAATTTTTAATAATATAATTAACATACATTTAAGATGCCTTTTTAAAAATTTACTCATTTTGTTGGGCTCAAAATATAATAAAATATTTCAGTAACAATAACTAAATGTAATTTAACTTTGTGGAAAACTAAACTTTATTATCTGTTTCAAGATGTTGCTTCTTATTAATATTTCCTACTTCTTCATTTTAATTAAAGACATTGAAAAACCTTAAAGATTTATGTTATGTTTTAATAGTAGAATAATATCTAAAGAAAAATAGGATAAAAGTTATTGTGATTAAGAAATAAATTCTTCTATAATTAGATATTGATCATGGAGCAGCCATTTTAATATTTGCAATATTTCTTTCTATGAATATAATCTTTTGCCCTAAGATCAGAATAAAATAAATTTAGGGAAAAAAAAAATTAATTCAGGTTACAAATTAAAAAATAAGTAAATTCTTAAGATTTTAATGATAGAGATCTAAATAATATTAAGTTAGCTTAAATAATTTTAGATTAATAATACATGTTGCTTTAATTAATTAATTA